AAAATTTTGCCAAGAATTTTATTGAAATCTTTGAAAATAATTGAATTTTGCAGAAAAATTTTATTATTTAATATTTATAAAGATAATTGAAATCAGGATTTTTTTAAACTTTTAACCATAATTGAATTTCAGAAAAGAATTTTATTACATAATACTTTTGAAAATAATTGAATTCTTATTGAGACGAATTTTAATATTTCTTTTTAAATAATTGAACTCTTTTGTGAAATTTAATTGAAATAGTAATTGAATTTTCATAAATTATTGAAATTAACTAAATTTCTACAAAGAATTTCATTAAAATTATATTGAAAAAAAATTGAATTGTTAAAAATATTTTCATTGAAATTTTTGAAAATAATTTAATTCTTTCAAGAAATTTAATTACAAATGTTTTGACAATAATACTTAAATTCTAATAAATAAATTACAGTCCGGCTTTTTAAAATTATTGAATTTCTTTGATGAGTTGTCATAGAATTTTTAAGAATTATTACATTTTTTGAGAAATTTTTCATTAAAATTGTATTAAAAATAATTGAAATTCTGCGATGAGTTTAATTATTTATGAAAATAATTGAAAACCTATAAAGTTTTTTATTATTTATTAAAATAATTGAATCTCTGCAAAAATTTTGATTATTTATGAAAATAATTGAATTATTGCTAAGAAATTTATAAAGAATTTGTAAATAATAGAATTCCTGTGAAATTTTTATTTTGTAACTAATTCATTCAAAATTGAAATTTTACAAAATTTTAAATTAAAACCTTTTTGAAGTTTATCTATTTATGAAAATTGTAAACTCAACTCTTTTGAAATTGAATTAAGTTTGAAATATTTAAGAAAAATCAGATTTCAAGTATGAGCACAATAACTTTAGAAAACGATAATTTTCCAGGATTGCGATCAAAATTCCCTGACTTTTCCAGGTTTTTTTCAAGGTTTATAAAAATCCCTGACATTTCCAGGTTTCCAGGTTGCGTGGCAATCCTGAAATATATGAAATGTTGAATAATACATTTTTTATAATAATAAGACTACATTCTGTTATTAAATTTTTTTCTTATAATTTTCCAATTATGTTGGATCTAATTTAACGAGTATGATCTCGTAATTGTAGTCAATTTATTTTATTAAAATAATTGATTAAATACAATTGTTAAATATTAAATGTTTATATACAATATGCGGCAATTCTTCTCAGTATTTTCTTGGTCGATGAAACGATTTCTAGGAATTTTTATATTGTCCTCGACATGAAAGAGTGAAACAGATTCTCGAGTAAGATTCACGTGTTCGTGCAACCGTGAGCAACCAGGAATTAAAATGAAGCATATAAAAGGGGCTGAAGGTGTGATCAGCTGGTTAACTAGTATATTTCCTCTCATCAGATATACCCCAGAGATCCGGAAAGATTATCCAATTCCATGCTAAAATAGTCGAGACTACTTGGAATATTTATTTAAACTAACCCACGTGTTGATTCACCGGAATCAAAATTTTCCATCGTTTCCTCTCGTCTGAGAGATTTCGTTCTAATAAATCTGTTTTTTTTTTTAATGCAGAAAAACCAGTTTTTCCCATTTTTATTTATTCTCTGCCAATAAATGAAAAATTAAATTTTAAATTCGATTTCTCGATTTTTATAAATAACTAAATCTAAAGAAATCAATTCTAAAAATAGAAAAATAAAAAAAGAAATAATAATAAACTAAGATTCGAAAAAATCGAAACCCCAAAATACCAATATTCTCAAAATTTTTTTATTCTACATAAAAATGTACCTAAAACTTTTAATATCCTCTGCTATATTGAATATGGTGAATTAAATTTAAATTATGAAAATAAAAAATTAATAAAAAGAAATGTAATCTTTTAATATCTTTTAATATCCTCTGCTGTATTGAATATGGTGAATTAAATTTAAATTATGAAAATAAAAAATTAATAAAAAGAAATGTAATCGATTATTTCGTGAATAATCACAATTTATTATATATAAATAATAAAACCATAAATTTCGATTATTCACGAAATAAATAAATCTGGAGAATAAATAAACTAATTAACATGTGTATATATGAACATTACCTCAGCGGGTAGTAATTTTAATAACCTGTGTAGAAATATTATGAAAAACTTGTTTCAGGTAGTGGCTTTCATTAAAATAAATCCCCTTTAAAAAAAATAAAAGATAAATTTCACAGCCTTGTTCTAGAATTTTCATCCTCTAAAATCCGACATTTATGCTTCTTTAGCAATAAATATATTCAGGTTTTATTCACGAAAACCGATTATCAGATTCTAGCGCGAGTAATAAAATGTCCACCCTGCTAATTAACGACATCGATATTGCCTTTATAAATAATGAAAATTGTAAATAGGTAAATGTGCAAGTCGTGAATCAAATTTTATTTAATAACTTAATTAAATTATTTTCCTGAAAACAAGATTTATTAAATACAATATAATTATAAATAGAGACATTTATATTATATTATTATTTATAATATTATTCATAACTAATAAATTTGATTTACAATCAAAGTTTAGTTCAAATTTAATTAACTTTATAGTTAAATTAAAATCACATACAATTAAAAAGTCCAATTAACTTTAGAGCGAGCTTTAGAGTTTAGTAAAATTAACAGTAAATTTAATTTGTTAAATTCTAAAATTCTATCAAATTTAATTTAATTTTCGAATTACGTTATAATATAATTAAATTCAAACAGTTTAATTAAAAGAAAGTTGAAGTAAAAAATTCAATTTATTTTTAAGTTGAAGTAACATTATTACTAACTTTAAAAAGTAGAATTATGATTTAAACGAACTTGAAATAAAATATAATTTTAAAAGTTAAAGTAAGAGTTACTTTAATAGCAGGGATTACAGTGATTTTTTCATGCAACATTAGATAAAAAGGGGATTATATTTTTCAAAAAGGAAATTCAGTTTAAAATGAGAATGTAAAAAGGGGAATTTTTAAATTAAGAAAAAATTATTGTATTATATAAAATTTATTTAATTATTTTTTCGTTGAACCTTTTTTGTAATCCGTAACTTATTTCTTCAAATTTTTAATAATTATTATTTACATATTTTTTATTATAATTGTTCGAACTAATAATTCAGTTGTATAATAACAAATTGTAACTTTTTATTATCAACGAGAAATTGTAATAATAAATAATAATTAACAAATAATAATAAACAAAAATTAACAAATAATAACAAAATTGTAATAATAAATAATAACAAAATTGTAATAATAAATAATAACAAATAGTAATTGACAAATAAAAACAAATAATAACAAATTATAATTAATAAATAACAAGATTATAATATAATAAATAGTAATAAATTGTAATTAACAAATAACAGAATTATAATAATAGTACCAAGTTGTAACTAACAAATAACAAAATTGTAATAAATAGTAACAAATTATAATTAACAAATAACAACAAGAATTGTAACAAGTTTTACAATATACGAAGTTAGAAAAAATTAGTAAAATTAACTTGGAACTTGGAAAAATTTCCTTAAAAATTGTAAAATTCAATATTAAAAATTGTTATTTCGGAAATAACTTTTACTATTTTCAAAGGCATTTTTTTTATAATAATTAGAAAAATTTATTTCAAAAATAGTGAAATTTACTCTGAAAATAAGAATTTTTATTAACTAATAATTGTAAAGTTCGAAGAAAATTTAAAGGATTTTTATAAAAATTAACATTGAAAATAGTAAATTTTGCTTAATTGAAAATCGTTATTTCTAGAGTAAATTTTATAATATCCATAGTAAATTTGATGAAAATTCCTAAAATATACTTTTAATTTAGTAAAATTTATTCTGAAATTAATAATTAATACAATTCGTCAAAAATTCTAAACAATTTTTATTTTTCTTAAAAGTGAAAGTTATTTTATATTTGTTACCTTTTATGAAAAAATTTCGAAGTTTAAATACTGAGAAATAATATAAAATGCTTTTTAAAAAAAAGTGTAAAAATACTGAAATTTATAATTTTAAGAGGTTTAGGGGATTTTATAAATTTAAGGGTATAAAAAGGGGACTAACTGTGATACCTGTAATAGTTAAATAAGTTAAGTAAAGTTAAAATTAAAAACTAAAATTCAAATTGTACCTAAAATATGTTAAATTAATTTTTCAAAATTAACTTTTTCAAAAATCTAAAATTAGATGTTTAATTAACTTTAGAGTTTGGTATGTCAAATTTAAATATTACATGAATTCAAAAAGTTACATTAAATTTAGAGTTATTTAAGTAATATTAAAAAATTAAAATCAGAAAGTAAAATTAAAATTAATTTTATAAATGTTGATTTTACTAGTGTTAATTGTTACTAAAATTATTGTTGATATGTATTATTATTATTATAATTTTTACTGTTATATTATCATCGTGTCCACTGACGAAGAAAAATAAAATTAAAAACGATCAATTGAAGCAAGGCTGATCCGTAACTCTGTCGCCTTATTCACCCAATTTCTTGTCTAATTTTAGAAAATGCCGAGAGTTCGCCAAATATTTGAATCGCTATAGCAATTTGAAAGACGGGTCATAAATTGAGGTTGACAATTAATTAACAATTATTAAATTACATTTTATCCTTGAATTTTAATTTCATTGTGATACGAATGCATTAATTTCGACTAATTGTTTTTCTCCTCCGCTCTTTATTTATAGAATAAAAAACAAAGTTATATTTTAATTAAAAGAAATCTCTATCGTTATTTATTCTGGAAAAAATTAATCTTTGAAAATTCATTTGAAAAAATTATAAAGTATCCTTAAGTATAATTGATTTAAAAAACTAATATATGAAGAAACAAACTATAGAGATAAGCAGAAAAATTGCTAAATTTTTGGAAAGTTTATTTTTATCTCCATTTTTGAATGTTATGTAAATTGATTATATGATGTTACACTAGATGTTAATAAATGAACATGTTTTTGTTACAGGCGATATGGAAATTTTGGCCTATTTCTTCGGACCAGTGGGTGTTTTGCTTGCAATCAATCTCCTGTTTTTCGTTGCAACGGCCAGAGAGTTGACGTGTGGCCTGTGGAAGGGTGAATTTGTGAAAAGCACCACTGAACGGTAAGAAAAGTTTTGTTAATTTCATTAAAAATGCTGATAAAAGTGATTGCTCGATTCATCAAACGACTCGTTTCATTCTGAATAAACTTGTTTCTATATGTGTGCGTCAAATTTTAACGCGTGAATGGACATCATCAAAATAGTAAAAAAAAAATAAAATACAGTTAGTGTTACATTAATTTTTTTTCAAAATCCATAAAAAAATTTTCTTTTCTAATTTAAAGTTTAATTAATTTTATCATCATTTTCTAGATTCGAAACATTTATATATAATTTCATATATTTTAGATATTTTTTCAAATAATAAATAAATATTGTTTACTCCATAGAGGAAATATTTTTATTATGATATTCTTGACACTTCATTACTTACACTTCATTTGGATGGATTTAAAAAAATATTTAATATATGTTTAATTATTGTTTTCAAAGAATTTTTAATTAAAATTCTATTTTAAATAAATTATTTTTAATAAATTAATTTCATTATAAAGGATCTCGGACGTTAAAGATTATTTAACTAATTATTTTTAATAATTATCGAAAAAGTTCTTTAAGAATTTTCAAATTCATTTGTTTACAATTCAATTTTACAAAATTTCAATTATTCAATTATTTAAAATACAATTATTCAATTATTTAAATTCTTGAATTAAACATATATTAACATATATAATAACATATATATATTATATATATAACATATATATATATTATATGTTAACATATATATGTTAATATTAGATAATAAAAACTTCAAATAATATAAGAAAAATTCATTTAAACTTTTACAAAAACATTAATTTTTAAATATAATTGAATTCATTTGACGAATTTTAATAAAATTTTTAAGAATAATTACATTTTTCGAGGAATTCAACGAAAATTGTTTTAAAAATAATTGAAATTCTGCAATACAATGAATTTTATTATTTATAAAAAATAATTCAATTCTTCAATAGAATTATAATAATTACGAAAATAATTGAATCCTCGTAAAAAATTTGATTATTTAAGAAAATAATAAAATAATTGCGAAGAAATTTATAACTAATTTAAAAATAATTGAATTCCAGTGAAATTTTTATTAGTTATGAAAATAATTAATTGTTTGCGTACCATTTTATAATTTTTTTTTTAAATAATTGAAAATCTGTGATGAGTTTTATTGTATATGAAAATAATTAAATCCCCAAAAACAATTTTATTTTGTTTGAAAATAATTATACCTAATTAAATTAATAATAATTAAATTTCTGCGAAGAATTATATTACTCTTATGTAAAAATAATTGAATTTCTGCAAAAAGTTGTAACTTCTCCAAAATTAAATTTTTTTTTTGGTGTTTTTAATTAAAATTCTTCTCTAAATTAATTATTTTTAATAACTTTTGAAAAAGATTTTCGAGAATTTTCAAATCTATTTGTTTAAAATTTTTTTTAATTTTACGAAATTTAAATTATTTGGAAATTCTTCAATTTAATATATATTAGAAAATAAAAACTTTTAAATAATTTCAAAGAAAATTGAATTAAACTTTTTCAAAAAACTTAATTCTACAGAATTGTCAGTTAAAAGTATGAAAAATTAAAATTTCCAAAGATTTTCATTTGAAAATTGAAACCTTTTCAAAGTTCAATTATTTCTATAAATTAGCGCTATAATGCTTTTAATATTTAATTATTATCTAAAATTTTAAATAAAATTTATTTTTTAATCAATTTTTATTAGAAAATTTTACTAGAATTCAATTATTTAAATAGAAAAATAAGTAATTTATTGAATAATTGAATGTTTCATAGAACTAAATTTGCATAAAGAATTTTATCAATACATTTTTAAATAATTTAATTTTTTCGACGAATTTTAATAAAATTGTGTTTTAATTGTATTTTTCGAGGAATTAGATTAAAATTGCATGAGAAATAATTGAAATTCTGCTTTGAGTTTCATTATTTATGAAAATAATTGAATTATTGAGAAGAAATTTTTAAAAAGTAAGTAATTTTAATTTCTCGGAAATTTTTATTATTTATGAAAATAATTAAATGTTTGCGTAGAATTTTATCCAACTTTTTTTTTTTAAATAATTCAATTCTTTTGCAAAATTTTATTAAAATGGTAAATATTGAAAATCATTGAATTGAGGAAATTTTTTTTAAATAATTGAATTTTTAAGAATAATTTTATTATTTATGAAGGTGATTGAAATTTTGACGAGAATTGAAAAAAATTTTTGAACATAATTGAATTATTTAGGAGAATTTTATTATTTTTGAAAATAATTGAATTTTTGCAATCATTTCTAACTTTCCTAAAATTCTCCAAATTATATCGTACAATTTACGAAGTTTTCGTGCTTTTTCAAAAAAAATTACGGACTTTGCGGATCATTTAAAAAAAACTGACTTTTACTTCAAGCAAATTTACGGATCTAGTTCGAGCTTTGAGTATAGGAAAAATTACAATATCATTGTCCGCTGGTCTCTCTTCCACAATATTCGGCTCTTGCACGCGCATCGACTCTTACTTTACGAGTGAGAAAAGGTGGGGGAAGTTACATCTTTAGGAACCAACTTCTGTGTAGTCAAAATTTAAATAAACTACATTTTTCTAATCTCTTTTTTTAATTTTATAAAATTGAGTCTAGAGTTAATATTATTACAATTATTATTATCATTATAATCATTTTTCTTACAGTTATAAATAATTCTTTTAATTTTGCATTATCTCCAAAAAAAAAAATTTTACGTACAGTTTTTTTGAATATTTTTAAGAATCTTCGCAAAATTTTATATGTACACAAATCTCATCTTGGCGAAGGAGAATCTTTGTATTTATAATAAATCCAGTCGTTTCGCCGACTGCCGCAGTCTCGTTGCAGCCAGCGGGTGGTTTTGCCGCGGAAAAGAGTCATTTCTTTTCAGCTCAAAACCAAACGCATTGTTCATGGAGTTTCACGACAGATTTAGTGCATGAAAGAAATTTGACACAGTTCGCCTTGAGAAAATGAGTTATTTACATATAAATCGAAAAGAAAATGTACTTTTAAATCTTGACGGTGACATTGCTTTTGTTGTTCAATTTTTTTTTCTTTATTAAGTTCTTTTAAAATAATTAATCTTAAAAAAAAATTTTAGTTGAAATAAATTACTTTTTATTTGGAGATAAATTACTTTTATGTTGGTAAATTTTTTTTTATTGTAAATAAATTTTTCAATGAAAATAAATTCTTTTTTTTAAATAAAAATAGTAAACATTTTTTAAAACTAGAAAATTATTAAAATAATTATAAAAAATAAATTTATTTCAATTTAATATTGAGAAGAAATAATTTATTTGATATCTAAAAGAGGGGAAATTTTGTTGTAGTTAGAGTTTGATACTTTAATTACACAGTCGTATTTGTAGGTGTAGATAGTGTTACTCATCTCTAATCTATAAATAGATTTTGTTTTACTCTGACCTATGCTACCGAACAAATTAGTGTCAGGAATTTTAAATGTCGGTCAGGACAGTAAACCTTTATGCAATCGCACATGTTTGTCAATTTATTTTATATTCGCTTAATTTAGTAATTTTTTATTTTTTCTATTTTTTAATTCGCTAATTAGTCATTATTTTCTTCGCTCATTGTTTTTATTCACACATGTCGATTTTAATAAATAAATTATATTTTTGTATAATTAGATTTTTAAAGATGTCGAACAAAAAAAAATTTGCTATGTACAAAATTACAACAACTTTTCTTACAAAAGAAAAAAAGAGATTTTTACAAACAAAATAAATAAATTTCAAATTATAGGCTTTTTGAAAAAAAAAAATTTTTTTTTCGATTCACTTAAAAGTATTGGAAATAAAAAATTTATGAAGTTAGTGATCTCGCTTATCATGATGGGATTATTTAACTAGACATGTGTTGTGAATTTTGTAACGATTTAAATTTTACTAATCGTCATTTTGAAGAGCGATGTCACATTCAACTGAAATATATTTGTATTATTTGGTCTCTCCTGATTTTCTCGTGCGTGACAAATACAAACAAAAAATCAATTCATATATATGAGAAATGACAAATTTTAGCATCCGGTCCACACTTCTTGGGTTTTATGCGATTCTATTTCGAAGCGAAGGACGCTCACCTTTTCAAGGATCACCAGTTCGACAACTCTTTTTTAAAAAGGTGTGGAAGAATGAAATAGCCTCCTCACTTTTATATGTATACACATATATAAAAGCATTATAAGTTACATACACATGCATGTAGAAACGCAAGCGTCGCGTCTTTTATTTGAATAAACGTTTGGCAATTTCCTTCAGAAAAATACATTTAAACAGCCTCTGTGAGAACGGGTCGATGATCTTTTTTTTAAAAATAGACAAATATTCGCAGTGGAATAAGCGACACTTGAAAGAAAAGTGAAATATTTTCCAGTCGATATTTTATGAATCCTCTGAGGAAGGCAATAAATTCTCTTTTTTTTTACAAATTTCTAGATTAAAGAAAATAAAATTTTGTTAAAATTTTTCATTTTATATAAAAAAAATTGATTTTTTTAAAAAATTATTTTAAAATAATTTTAAAATTTCACTAATTTCTAAGCGCCATTATTTTTGTTATTTTATTTATTACTTTTTTGCTTTAGAATTTTTTCCACTTTTATTATTGGTGTTGAAATTTTTTAAAAATTTACTTTTTAATAATAATTTCATTTATTTATTATTATTAATTTATTTATTCAATTCATTTATTTCAATAATATGTTTCAAACAATTTGATATTAAATAGTAAAAAAGGATAATTTATTTTCTAGAATATATGAATTATTTTCTTGTTTTGAGTAAATTTTGCAATGAAAATTGTTAATATATTGCATTCTTTCTGAGTTGTTTATAATGAGCCGATCAGTAAAACTTTCGACTGATAAATCAAAAAATTTTAACTTCAAATCATTTTCATCTTTTCAATTCAAAATTATTATTTTCTAGAATTATTAACT